TCTGGGGGTTGGGATAACAGAGCCAGCAGCCCTCCGCTCCCAACCCATCCAGAGCAGCCAAACACGCCCAAAAGGACCCGGGAAAGGAGAACAAAACCCACCTATTTTTTTATCACGTTCCCCTAAAAACAAGGAAGAAAAAGAAGAAGATTAGAATAATTTAAAAGCGTCTGTCGATGTTACATCAGAGCCAGGACTCTTCCCCAAACACCTCCTTCTTCTTAGTCACTTATTATTTGCAATTTCATTTGCTGCTGGCTCGCATTTCCCTCTATCTAAGCCTCCACTTCTCGGTACGTTAAAGTTAATATCTGGGCAACAAAGAAAACCTCGAAAAGCTTTAGAAAAGCTTTAGTTAAAGGCCAAAAAGAAAAAAAAACTCAAATCACATACCAAGTTCTTCGGTGACTTCATCTTAAGAGAGAGAAAAAACACGGATTTCCGTTAGAATCTGTTTATTCCCCAGATATTTTCTCCTTCTCCGCTATTATCTGATCTTCTTCCCTATTCAAAGACCCAGATTTCCTCCGCTTTTGCTGTTACCACGTTAAATTGCGGAGAAAGGTAAAACGCTCCTTCTGAAGATGATGTAAAATTCAGTCTCTTTTTATATTTTTCGGTACCCAACTTCGCCGACGCTTGCTCCGTTCGTTTGTTGTGACACCAGCCCACCGAGCTTCCGACCAAACTCAAATCCACCAGAAAAGGGGAAAATAAACGTCGGGCATTTGCCGTCGGCAAAGGAAGGAAACGACTTACCAAGTTCCTCGGTGAGTTGACCTTAAAAGAGGGAAAAAGAGAAAGTTTTCCTCACGTGCTTAAGGGGGATTCCTTCGAATCAAAAGGGTTTTCTGCCTCGGCAGGAAGGAAAATGATGCTTACCCCTTTCTAGATCACTCTCCTCTGGGAACGAAAAAAAAAAGGGGGGGGGGGGAAAGAGGGGAAAAAAAAAATCAGAATTTTTATTAATCTCTATCATTTTAGGAGCATCCCTCTCCCAGGTATTATTTGCATTCATCACTATGATTTGAAGTGAGTTTGCAACTTCACCACCACCATTTCGTTTTTTCTTTTTAAAAAACGACGACGACAAAATCCAGCCACGTCAACCTCACGCGCACGTAGCGGGATTTACACCACGCGACGCGATCCCTCCCTCCTCTGTCGAATGACGAGGGAAAACACCCCAGATTTACCAGGCTCCTCAGGGAACGCGTCTGCAAAAGGAACGAGAGGAACGAATTTGGCACCGCCAGCCCCAGACACGCACCGTCACCCGAGCGCGTTCGCGTCCTACCGCTTTTTTCTCCAGGAAAAAAAAAAAAAGGGGGGGGGGGGGGAAAAGAGGGGAGAGGGAAAAAATCAGAATTTTTATTAATCTCTATCATTTTAGGAGCATCCCTCTCCCAGGTATTATTTGCATTCATCACTATGATTTGAAGTGAGTTTGCAACTTCACCACCACCATTTCGTTTTTTCTTTTTAAAAAACGACGACGACAAAATCCAGCCACGTCAACCTCACGCGCACGTAGCGGGATTTACACCACGCGACGCAAAAAATCAGAATTTTTATTAATCTCTATCATTTTAGGAGCATCCCTCTCCCAGGTATTATTTGCATTCATCACTATGATTTGAAGTGAGTTTGCAACTTCACCACCACCATTTCGTTTTTTCTTTTTAAAAAACGACGACGACAAAATCCAGCCACGTCAACCTCACGCGCACGTAGCGGGATTTACACCACGCGACGCGATCCCTCCCTCCTCTGTCAAATGACGAGGGAAAACACCCCAGATTTACCAGGCTCCTCAGGGAACGCGTAATATTATAAATATTAATTTATTATGAAATACGTAATTACAAACTCCCTTGAACTTTCTCAATTTTTCAGAAGGGAAGGAAAATATCACTCACCAGCTTCCCGATCCTTTAGTTCCTCTAACAAAAAGAAAAGAGAAAAAGAAAAGGCGAAACACAGAGTTTTCCTTTTCGTACCCCGGATTCTTCGGTCAGGATACAAGCTCGCTTCTAGCCCATTGCTATTTTTCGCCTGTGCGTCACCGTTATCCGTTATTATTTTATTTTCAAGAGTCCCCCGCGCTAGCCCTTTACCCATCTGCTTCTACAGTCGTCTCAGAAACTACCTACAACCAGCCAACCCGAATTCGGAGGAAAAAACAACAAGGAAACCCCAAATCGGTTTCGTGAAAGGAATGAAACCGGCTTACCAAGCTCCTCCGTCAGTTCTCCTTAAAAAGGGGAAAAGAAAATATGTTCTAATCAGCGCGTTCCCGTCCCAAGGACGTCAGAGGGTCTTGATGGGGGGGGGGG